AACAGGGGAAAAAACTCCTTATAACCACCATATGCTGTTAACATGGACTGCAAAAGTTCCCGGCAGTAAAATGCAAAGAGAATTGTCCAAAACCTAGCACACTATAACTAGAGGTTATTTAAATCCCACACAACATTTGTTCAGATTATTATTATTTTTTTTTTTTTGAGACAGAGCCTCAAGCTGTCCCCCTGGGTAGAGTGCCATGGCATCACAGCTCACAGCAACCTCCAACTCCTGGGCTCAAGCGAGTCTCCTGCCTCTGCCTCCCAAGTAGCTGGGACCACAGGCGCCCGCCACAATGCCCAGCTATTTTTTGGTTGTAGCCATCATAGTTGTTTGGCGGACCTGGGCTGGATTCGAACCCACCACCTTAGGTGTATGTGGCTGGCGCCTTAGCCACTTGAGCCACAGGCACTGAGCCTGTTCAGATTATTTAAAAAGAAAAACAAAACAAAACAAACAAACAAACAAAAAACCTTTTACTCTGATATACTGACCAAAACAATTTTAGGCTTAAGTGTAGGCCCCAGAGTTTGAATTGTCCTTGTGTGGATGTAAGTCCCCAAAGTATCCTGCAGCAATTAAGTGGAATCTCATTTACTTACTGGCCAGCACTGTTTCCATCACTCTGTACTTCTTCTCAAATTGGGGAGTCTTTGGGGGACACTAGTGAAAACTGTCATCTCAGCTAGAGCACCTCAAAGTGGGGTTTGATAAACACTGAGTATTCCCAGCAAAGCCTTCAGATAAAAAGAAAACCCAAGACTCAGGAACTCACTCTGGCTTTTTTTTTTTTTTTAATAAATCAAGAGTCAGGAAGCTAATTACTTATGCCTACCTTGCAAGGTTAAAGCAAAATAATCAGTCCATAATGTCCACAAGAACACAAGAAGAGGATAAACTCTCCCACCACTGGAGAAATGCATCTCCTAGCAGGATGTCTGTTTGAGGTTGGGGTGAGGGAATCCTAACGGAAATGGGAAATAATCAGTTCCCACCTCAGGTCTCAGTTGCGCTTCTAGGGCAAGGCACATCAAACAGGGTGGCTGTTCACTCTTTTCCCCAGAATAGGGGTGGCTGGGACCTCCTGTGCCTGGGCAAGTCATTTTTATGTATTGACCCAGGAATGGGTCTTGCATGCAGTCAAAGCTTTGGTGGAGGCCTGTAGGGTTGGAGAAGGGGTGGGCGTGTGCAAGCAGATGGCTTGGTCCCAGTAAAAGCTAAGATAAAGATCTGAGACAGTATTTCTTTATGAAAAGTGGGAGTAGAGTGTGTGCAAATTTAATGCTTAGTAGGGGAAAAGTAGCAAATCTCCTGTCTGGAAAGACAGTCCAGCCAACAAGTCCTTCCGATCACCAAGGCCTCTCCCCTCCCCCATCCCCTTAATCCTCTCTCCGCCTTCCCGCTCCCCTCAGCCTCCGCAGGAAACCAGGCCACCAAGGCCGAATTTAAGCATGTTTTCGCTTTTTCTCCGGGATCAATTCCCTTGGTGTAGATACGTCAATAGGTTCCCCAGGTCCCATGGCCATGCTGCAAGGAGCGGGGAGGGCGGTGGAGGAGTGGGCTGCAGCGATGGATCAGGATTTAAAAAGAGTTGGCCCTCGTCAAAAGTGGTTTCCTGTCAATAGGCTCAGGACTGGCAATTGCTGCACCGCCAGAGCCCTCAAGGATGCAGCGCCACGGGCCTGAGAGCCCAAACCCCGCGCAGTACACCGAGGTCCGGGGAGGCAAAGCCGGAGTACGCCTGGGTGGGCGACAAGTCCCACCACCCCCACCACAGGCGAACAAGCGTCTCCTGGCTTTCTCATAATTCCAGCCAACCCTAGAAACCCAAATATCCTGAAAAATTCCGAAAGTGAAACTACGAACTGGTCTCCAGAAGTTTGGAAACGGTGTCCCAAGCTTCCTGGAGAGATCTCAGGACTCTCAGACACCAAAAAAGCCATCAAGGACGTGTACCGGTGTCAGTGGCCACTGTTCGGCCCGGCCACCATCCGCAACTCCCGGATCCCCCTGTATTTTTTACGAATAAAAGTCCCCAGCCCCGTGGCGCTAGCGCGCCCCGACTACCCGGTGCCTGGGCAGTGGTCAGCCAGGCGCCTGCCTTGTCTCGGTTCCTGCCTCGTTCCTACAAAAAAGGAAACTTGGGCCCTGCGAGAATCCCAAGGAATGTTTTTTGTAATCAACTGTGTATATTCGCTTCCACGGCACAGCCCAGTGCAAAATCAGGGGTTTCGGAGCATTGGAGAGGATTGTGCGCTTGTCAGCGGCGACGTCAGGAAAAAGGGAGGGGTTCGCGGCTGCAACTGCATTTCACTAGCACAGAGCCATTTTAGGCTGGTCTACACCTCGGCGGAGCCCACGGGAGAGCTGTCCCTAGGAGGACGCGCCGCAGCGCGGCCTGGAAGAGCCGGAGACGCGCCGCGCGCCCGGCCCGCGGCGGAGGATGAGATGCAAGGTGGCCGGAGCGTCCCCAATAGCTCAGCCTTACCGCTCACGTGGGAAGGGAAATCTGCCAAGGGTCTCCAGTCCCAGTACACCCCCACCCCAGGGGACACAGTAAGGGTCCTGTCCTTCCGACAGCGCATTAGTCTAAGTGACCTTATCGAACCCCCCTCCGGCAAACGCGAGACTACGTTGCCGCGCTAACTACTGACCGAGCCAACTCTACCTTTTTTAACCCTATTACCTAAAAACATCTCAAGGAACACTGAACAGTGCGCAAACAGATTTGTGGACCCCAAGGACGTCCCCCGGACCTGCCCTCGCCGTCCCCGGGAATCACGCGTGGCTGCCGCGTGGCCCCAGGCTCCAGGGGTCTATCGTGTAGGCTTCGCCGCGCGATCTACGCTCGGCGCCGCATCGTGTCCGCGGGCGACGCCTGTCGGGGCCCCGGTTCCTAGCTGAACTAAGCCCCGGCTCTCCTACGAGCTCTGGTTTGCTTGCTTTCCCTCGGGCAGCTCCGACTGGCTCGGGTTTTGTCTCCAAACTCCACTCTCAGATCCTCCCGGGCCCAAGATGCTGGCCTTTCAGGGGCACTCCACCACCCACTCACACCCCAAGGCTACAGCCCTGTCCGCGCGTCCTCCATGGCCCGAGGACACCCCTCTCCGATGCAGCCCCCTAGGTCAGGGCCCAACCAGATCAAGGGGCAATTTCTTCCCGGAACGCTTTTCCCCTCCCCTGCCTTCCCTAGAGTACGAAACCCAAAAGTAGCAGGGGCAACTCCTGGTCTCCACCCTAACTGCTAAAATCCACGCGCCCCTGCTCTTCAGACACTGCACTTTCCTCCTCCCCACGCCCCAGCCCCGCACCTCCCACCCCAGCGCGGCGCGAAAGGAAGCAGGACCCTCCACTGAGTGCAGTGCGCCCCCTACACGCACAAAATCCCTCTGCCGTTTGCAGCTCGACTGCACCCCACACCCGGGACAGTTAGTCGTCCTTTTAACAAGCACCTCCTCGCTCCACCCACTCAGGGCTTTAACCGCGCGGGATCCAGCACGCAGGAGACAGCGAGATCGTCTCCTACAAAGCCGAAATAAATCATCCCCTCTGCCCTCCTGTATTTTGCACCACGTGTCGGCAGTCACGTCAAATCGCTGCAGGGTTCTAAGAGGCACACAAACATTTCGGGAAGATCCCTTTTACACCCATCACCCCTCATCTGCACACCCAGGCCTGGGCCTTGATCACAGGCACGCGCAGCAGCAGCGCCCGGACGCCTCAGTCCTGGCCGGCGGCACCGGCCACCGCTTACCCTGAACCCCTCTAGCAATGGATTTGACACACACACGCTGTAACCACGGAAAAAACCGGAGCAGACCATTCCCTCTCTTTTTCCCCACTTAATTCGCTAAAGCGCTTCCTGGGGTAGCCACAGAGACTCGAAACTAAGCGGTGGAAACTCTCGTTCGGTTTTTTCCCACCTCAAAACCTTTATTTTCAGTTTTTAAAAGCCACCTCAGCCCGCCATATTGAAACTGGCACGATTTCTACAGACTCCTTCCCCGCAGTTGTAGCGCTTCCAAGAAAACACTAGTACGCATCGGGCTCTAGGCGCGCGTCAGGCCACCACACACTGGCCACTTCCCGCCCCCAAGACTCCCCCTTCCCCGGCTAATCCCCTCCCGCCGCCCCGGGTCGAAATCAATAAATAACATCTACCGGCTCCTACAGTTGCTAGTATTTTGGCGGATTTCGGCAACACGCACACACGCGCAGGGCCAGATCAGGTTAGCAATTTTGCAGAGAAATCGGATGAGAGGAGACAACAAAAAAGCCCCAAGTGACAGGATATTACTTTAAAAGGGGGAAAAATGAACAAAAAGATCATCCTCGCTGGAGCACGCTCCGAAAGTACTACCGACAATTCCATTTCAGCTACACAGACAAATGTTTCCAAAGGGACAACTCTGGAGATTTGTGAGATTTCTGATCCCCTGGCTGGTTTCCAGGCCCCTTTTCCCACGACCTTATTCTTCCCTCCACCCCCACAATCCCCCCTATAGTCACACACACCAAAAGAAAGAGGAGACCTCAGCGCGGAGGAGACGCGGGAGCGCGGGGCAGACAGCAGAGGCGGCTGCGTCGCCAAAATGAGTGCGCAGGGAGGAAGGTGGGCGGCGGGAGGGGACAGGCTGCACCCGGAGGAGGACACTTTGCAACTCCGGACCGACTCCCGCACGGCCAGGCTTCCCCGAGCCGGGAGACGCCGGAGGAAGGGTCGGGGAAGCAAAAATGACAAGCCGGAGCGCACAGAGGAGTTTGAGGCTCCGCTCAAGTGCTGTCGCTTTCTTCTCCTGCCCTTCTCTTTGGCCCTTCTCCCCACCTCGCAACCTCCCCCAAACCCCCGCCGCCGCCACCACCGGGCTCGATCGCGCTTTCTTTTTTCCCTAAGCTGAAAAAAAAGACGCTGACCGGCGCACTCAACCTGCGGGCCGGAGATCTGCTCGCGGGCCAGGCTGGGCGCGGGGACAGCGGCCGGCGCGGCGTCCTACCTGGTGAAGTTTGTCCCGCCCTCGGCGTGGACCCAGGCCCCGAGAGCCGCCGGGGAGGAGGCCGGCCTCGCTCTCTCGCCCGCCCTCGCCAGCCCTTGCCCGCCCTCGCTGATCGCTCCCTGCTCGTCGCCTCCCTCGCGCGCCCGTTCGGGTCCTTCGGCTCCTACTACAGCCTCATTCCAATATGGCATCCTCTCTGTGCGCATGCCCGGCACTCTTTTTTTTTTTTTTAAGTTTTTTTTTTTTTTTTTTTTTCCCTTTTTTTTTTTTTTTTCTTTTTTGTGCAGCGAACTCCTTCAACGACCTTTTCCAGAGCATGCGAAATTTCTTAAGCTAATTAGCCCGCGGGACGTGGTCGACTTCCCTCCTTCGCCCGGGCCGTCGCCCCCAGCGCGCAGGGACCGGGGCACCCCAACCCCCGCCCGGCCCACGCCCACGCAGCCCCCTCCCCGCACCGCTCCCCTTCCTCCCTCCTTGGAGCTCCCTCCGTACGCGATCTGCAGAAAGTTCTCATCGCAGGCGTTTACGCACACGGGTCAGCTGGGCACACTCCGCGTCGCCCGAGTGCTGTCGGTTTCCTAGGTGGGCAATCCCTGCGTCCACCAAGGCCACAAATTAGCGCTTTATCCTCCCCAAAGCGCCAGGAGCGCAGAGAAATGCAATCTCAAAAGCAACCTGGGCCCCGCCCGCTCTGCCCCACCCTGCGTTGAAATTAAGCCTTTCAGAGAAGATTCGAACATTTCCTGCCCCCTTGGGGAGGGCGGAAGGCCCCGGAGACTTGCGCTCCGGAGAACGTGCCCTAAGGGGCAGGAAATTAAGTTGGGGCTGCTCCAGAGGGCTGCCTGCTGCGAGATGCCGACCTGGGTGAGACTGCGGTAACAATGCTCCCCAGGGCATCCCTGGGGGCACCCGCCGGACCCGTTCTCAAGGGACGGAAAAAGAATCCTCCTCCCAACCCAAGAAAAGCGTGGCCCCAGCGATCTGTTGGAGAGCCCGATGGCCACGCCACCCAGTGCAAGACTGGGCGTCTGCTGGGCCTGCGGGCACTTTGTCCCGGGTGTAAGAGGAGGACACAGGGGAATTCCCCGGGCCTTGAGTGCGGGGCTGAGCAGAGCCCTAATGAAACGTTGCCGGTGTAGGAAAGTCGGAGACAATGTCGTAGACAAGACCGAGAGCTTCTAAAGAGGTTTCCCTTTCACTAAGGGAAGCAGTGGGAAGATGCTGGCGTGAGGCCGGATCATACCCGGAAAACAGAGGATAGACACATTTGCTCAGAAATTTTGCTCTGTTGCCACCGGTGTTGGGGGCAAAATCTCCCTCAAGTCTCCCAATTCTGTACCCACCCCTTTCCCATAAACCCCTCCCGCGGTACCGCCCCGGCTCAGGGGGCCAAGAGGTCCTCCCAGCTCCTGCGGGTTCACAGCTCCGCCCACCCTCCCTCACCGCCACAGCTGCGCTGTCCGCCGTGGGGAACCCTGAGGGCAGGTGGGTCTCCGGAGGGCTGGGGCCCAGCGATGGAGAGGGGGCACCAGGCCAGGGCCTGACCGCGCGCAGGACGGGCGGCTGTCTTCCTCAGGCTGCCCCTCTCCCCGACGGCGGGGCCGAAGCTGGTCTAGAACCACCACCGATGGACATGCCCTAAAAGGCTTTTCGCTTCGTCGCGACCCTGGGAAGAGCCCCCTCCACCGAAACCATTGGCGGAGCTTGGAGATCCCGGGCCTTGTCAGGAGCCTGGAGACTTCGCGTACAGCCCAACACCTTGGAGAAGGCTTTGCGACGTCTAGAAGCGCCTTCCGCCGGCCTGTGACTACTCCATTTGACTTGACACAGGACCCTTCCGAGACTGAAAAGGGTCAAACGACTAACGAGTAAGGCTACTAGCGGCGCGGCACGGTCTTCAACCCCAGCCCGAGTCTGCGTCCTCTCCTGCTCTTCAGCTTTTGGGCACACAAAACCAGAGCCTTGAGCTCTTTTCCCCGAAGGTCGCTGAAGGCAGACTCCTCAAACCAACCGAACCCAGTCCTTGCATATGAACCGTCCCCACTGCATCCTAAAATTGCCTCCTCCTCAGCCCCGAGGTGTCCAAAGATGGAGGTTACCAGACGGACTGCGGCTCCGGCCCGGGGTTCTCAAACACAAAGATCACCTCGCCTCCCTCCTTCAACACAGAGTGGCACCGGGGAGGGAAGGGCAGGAGATCCAACCCCATCGCCTGGTGTCCTTGCGAGGCCGTGGAGCGTGCGGGGCAGGAAAGGCTCGGGGCGCCGAGTCCTCCCCGGAGCCGCGCGCTCGCGACCAGTGCTGCGCCCACGAAGGTGGTCTCGCTCAGCCCGCCGGCGGGCCCGCCCTCGCTCCCGGCCCCGAGCAGCGCTTCCGGGCCGCTGAGGTTCGGAGGGAGACCCGGTTTTCCCTCTCCGAGAGCCCTGGCGACGTAAGCCACCTATTCCCCCATCTCCAGACTTGTTCACCAGTTTAAAATCATTATGCACGAAACGTTATTTCATCAAAATAAAAGCAAATGCAGAAGAACACCCGATCCCAAACTGTGAGTGACATTCTCTCTCCTAATTGCTCCGGAGTACTTGCGGGGGGTGGGGGTGGGGCGTCTGCAAAATGGTGTAGACTGTACGGGATTAAGATTTTTTTTTTGTACTTACGGTGATCAAGAAATAAAATTATGAAGTCACAGTACAAGATGGTTGCACTGTTATCATGAAGAATCTCAACCATGTCTATTGTGGAAATACTCAGAGTTTGGTCCCCATCCACTTTTCCTTTTGGGAAAAGCCTGGGATGATTGTGATAAAATCATGAAATCACAGTACAAGATGGTTGCACTGTTATCATGAAGAATCTCAACCATGCCTATTGTGGGATTTCTCAAAGTTTGGTCCCCATCCACTTGCGTGTAGCTTTTGGCACGTGACTTATTGAAAGGGCTAGGACTTTTTTCTGCGACCTCTCCCGGTTCTTTATCCAAGTACACCAGTGAGGCAAATGAAAATAGGTTAGGAGATTCCTTGGGGCAATTAAAGTGGCCCCTTCCTCCCACTCCAAGACCTTTGAACTTTTTTTTTCCCGGAACCAGACACTCAATTAAAGATGAGAAAATCCAGCATAGTCAACCTTGCATTAAACACTGGTAAAAATTGTAAATGTTTTTTCAAAGTAAAGAAGGCACCATTCATTCCAATTTTGAGAAAGTCATCCTCGTAAATTTCATGATTAACACAACATTATATTGCTAACGTTTACTAAAAATCTTGGCAAAAGCAAGCCTACTATCACAGTAACTAGAGATCTCTTTTTATTCCTATGACATGATTAAGCCATGAATTTCATTACTTTTAAAATTCAGCTACAGATCTAAATTCAAAAGGACTTTGGGACTTTTTTTAACATAAATGAGGGTAAATTATGCAAAGTATTAAAGTTGTATCAGTTAATTGTAAAAATATTTCAATAAATCTATAACAGTTGAAAGTTTTCTCTTTCTTATTCTGTGTATTCTTAAGTATCACTTTACAAAAACTATTGTAAAAGAGTTGAAAAATAGATGTGGACTATTTATGTTTAAGATATGTGATTACTGAAATCTTTTTCCTTTTTTCGCATTGAGAAAAATGTTGAGTTTGTTCATACCCATTCCACGTTAAATGTATCACTTCCCATGGAGAAAAGGCGATGTTCTCAGATGATGTATCTAAGAGTTCTTAATGCAGACTCTCCCATGATATATTAGACGTACTAGCTGAGCAGGAAAGAAGGGAGGAAAAGGATCAGAATCCAATGTTTGAGGAACTTGAGCCATCTGCTCTTTCTAGAGACTTTAAACTGAAACTTGTTTTCTCTTAGGCTGTGTAAGATAGTATTTTTCCCTCAGCTTCCTAAGGTCAAGAAGAGTAAACCTAACCACTCTCTTGTTTTTTTCACTTAGTGGCTAATGTGTTATGAACCAAATGACCTCAGTCACTGCGTCATCACAAATTATCTGTGTGACCTCTGTAAGTCCAGTGACCTCTCTGAGCCATTCTTTCCTCCCGGGTCAAATGAGGGGATTGGACTGGATGTTGTGGAAGGGCCTTTTGGACTCTTTAAAGAGTGCTTAGCAATCTACCCCACCCGAAAGTCACAAATTGCCTTCCTTAGTATTCCTAACACCAAGTCTGCTAATTTAATATATTAAAAGTGTGAACTCCATATGTACACCATGGAATACTATTCAGCCATAAAAAAATGGAGACTTTACAGCCTTTGTATTAACCTGGATGGAAGTGGAACACATTATTCTTAGTAAAGCATCACAAGAATGGAGAAGCATGAATCCTATGTACTCAATTTTGATGTGAGGACAATTAATGACAAGGCAGAGATGGCGGGTTCAAACCCAGCCCTGGCCAAAAACTGCAAAAATAAATAAATAAATAAGAAAATTTTTAAAAAAGGACACCATTGTAAGACAGACTTCATCTAACAAATGCAATCAGTGTAGCCTGGTTTCTTGTACCCTCAATGAATCCCCAACAAGAAAAAAAAAGTGAACTCTGGGGTCACAGAGAGGAAAAAAATAAACAGGTCTGTAGGGGAAGGTCTTAGAGCATTCTGTGCCCTCTGGCCTGCATTGAAGGTGCATTCAAGTGATATTTCTGTCTCTTTTTGATTACTGTTGTGTTTTTACATTTACTGTACAGGTTTTGGGTTGCCCAGAAAAGTGTGGGGGCTCAGGTGAGAGCACCTATGAGAATCCTTCTGGGAAAAGCCTGGGATGATTGAGATAGCTTGCTAAACTGGGTAAGGAGTTCCCCATGACTGTAGTGAGGTGTGGTCGCAGGGCTCTTCAAACTTTTTAAATAGGGGGCCAGTTCACTGTCCCTCAGACCATTGGAGGGCCGGACTGCGGGCCCCAGGACAAGTCAGCTGCTAAGCAGGACAGGCAGTGACGGCAAAAACACCCAGCGGGCTGGATAAATGTCCTAGGCGGGCTGCATGTGGCCCATGTGCCGTAGTTTGAGGACCCCTGGTAGTGGGTCAAACAACATCACAGCCTTGCAGAGCTCTTTCTTGTACATTTCTAGAAATTTCAGACACGTGGTATTGCTATTACTTGTATAATTTGAAGGTATTCCAGACTTTCTTGACAACAGGAAAAAAAAATAACCGTGTACTGGGCATATAAA